GTCTCTCTCTCTCTCCCTCTCTCTCTCTCTCTCTCTCTCTCTCTCTCTCTCTCTCTCGCCCTCTCTCTCGCTCTCTCTCTCTGCGCAGCTGCTACACCGGTCTGCAGACATGGCGAACGTCGCAGACACTAAACTCTACGACATCCTCGGAGTATCTCCGTCAGCCACCGAGAACGAGCTCAAAAAGGTAGAGACGGTCCTTTCCGCCTCGCGCGTCGTGTTGTAATGAAACCAAAGAAGTGCGTGACGGGGGACGCTGCATGTTGGGGATCCACTGGTGTGTTTTGCAGGTTGCCCGCTGCCTGGATCCTCCAGTGTGGCCTTTCTTCGGGTCTGGAAATGATTTGGGGGAGGATTTGAAAGATACGTAGTCAAATATGTAGTTTGTGTACTATTTGTATTGCTGTACGTGTCCTTCGGCTGAGAGCATCCGCCAGGTGCTGCAGTCCAAGAGCATTACAGTGGAAGGAGATGCTTAGCTTACCAGCTGCTGTGCTAAACCTGAGCTCGTGTCTGATATGCAATGAGTCGGAGACGGTTAATGCAAGGTCTTGTTTTAGGTATTTCCTCGATGTGAATCCTCATATTTGTGCTCAGTCCTTTGTAAGAAGGTGACCAGGCTCTGGCCTTGATGCTCAAGTTGTCGGGAGTGTTTTGTTGTTGTTTGATTGTGCACACAAAGGATTTCAGAAAGCACAGTCAGACCCAAAATAACGTGGGGTATGTGGAGTTATCACACAATAGATGCATGAAAGAACTGGCAATGTGAATTCACAGCCATAAGGTCCGAGAAAAGGCACAAGCCATGTAATGTGCTTAGTGAAAGAAAAATAGCCTGATAGGATTTCGTTCAAGCATGGCTCTGAAATCAGCTTCCTTTGATCAGTCAGATTCTGGGGAATTTGGGGTCTTCGCCTCATTACTCACAATTGGGCTTTTCAATGACTTTAGACGTTAGTTTAATATGTAGTCACAGATTAGGAATTGGTAAAATTGTAAAGGTTGTTGACAAGAAATTTTAAGCAGTGTGACATGCTATAGTACATGTAAACATTTTTTAAACTGGTTAATTATTTTTTAACTAATATGTTACTAATACTAATTTACAACTAATACATTAATGAAAATAATTTTGAATTAAGAATTCATTTGTCAAACTGCACTATTTAAATACTAAAATTATGAATAATCTAAACTAACCACAATTACATCAAATACATGTTTATATTACACCAAATAAAGTTGGTGTAGAAACAATTTTCACTCAGAAATTGCAAGTAAATTTCACAAACAATTACAAAGAAATAGCACGTTGAATTAAATGTAAAATTTTGAAAAACTGAAGTATATTTTCTTATTCTAAGGTAAATGTACTCCATCTTTAATTTACAACTTCAAAAAATCTTTTTTACAGTGTACAGTATATGCACTGTAACCTAAAATTGTTTAATAATAATGTCCATGTTATTTTTCAGCTACCCAGAAACTAAATTTTTACATTTTATGAAAAAATGCCAGCTAGGTGTGAGAATCTTTGATCAAGTTCTGATTCTGGGAGTCACAATTCCCAAACAATTCTCAATCCGCATTTTTATTTATTTTTTATTAATTAATTTAGCAACTTTAAAAATAAATGTATTTGTACATATTCATTTAATTACTTATGTTATGTAATTATAGGTACTTTTTTAAATAACTGCAAATTCATAGTAAATTAAAACATTTGTACTGATATGCAAGGCTGTAGTGGGTAGTTGCTAGGTGGTTACTTATTAAATCGAAAGAGCTTATCTTCAAGTCTCTGTGATATTACTGTTTCTATGGCGCCAGTCCCTCTTTCAGTGCCAATCTATGCGAAATTAAAATTTGTCAGACTGAACATCAAAGTTTAAAACTTAACTCTGATTGTAAGTAATAGTACTGCTGGCCTTATTAAACATCACTAATTAGTGATATTTTTGTGATTTTCATTTTCAGGCATACCGGAAATTAGCAAAAGAGTACCACCCCGATAAAAATCCTAATGCAGGTGACAAGGTGAGTTCTCATTTTATCGAAAGATATTAACATGATAATTAACATAATAATAATAATAATATTTTGACCTGTTTGATTTAGTTTAAGGAGATCAGTTTTGCATACGAGGTACTGACTAACCCGGAGAAGAAGGACTTGTATGACCGGTATGGGGAACAGGGCTTGCGTGAGGGTGGCGGTGGAGGAGCCGGAATGGAGGACATCTTCTCTCACATCTTTGGCGGAGGTCTGTTCGGCTTTATGGGCAGCCAGAGCAGCAGGAGCCGGAACGGTGGCCGACGGAGAGGGGAGGACATGATACATCCACTGAAGTGAGTAAATATGAAGAAAAAGAACCTGAGAATAAAAAATAAAGTACTTGAGGGAAGAGGAAAAATATTTATGCATGACCTATTTTAAAGGGACAGTTCACCCAAAAATGAAAATTCTGTCATCATTTCTCACCCTCAAGTTGTTCCAAACCTGTATGAGATTCTTTCTTCTGTTGAACACAAAAGAAGATATTTTGAAGCATGTTGTTAACCAAACAGTTGACGGTAGCCATTGACTTCCATAGTTTTTTTTTTTTGCATAGTGTAGAAGTCAATGGCTACCATCAGCTTGACGGTGAGTAGATGATGACAGAATTGTGATTTTTGGGTGAACAATCCCTTTAAGTCAGCATGAAATCAAAATTGGATCTTATCTATAATGTAAAATTTACACTGCAAAGGTGGCATAGATGTGCGTCTGAAGTGGCATTTACTGCTTTAATGCTGTTCAGAGGTGGCATAAATGCATTTACACAGCAAAAACAGTATTCTTTGATGCAATGGGCTGAGGTTGGTCGGAACAGGCATAATTTAGTCTGACTTTTATACAGCATTACACATAATTTTGAGCAGGCACAGAGCAGTCTTAAAGGGGTCATATGATGCGATTTCAATTTTTCCTTT